TCAGCAGTGGTTGTTGACAAGTGTCATGCGAGCACATTCCATTGAATATTAGTTTACTATATTTGTACCTATAGTTTTAATATTAACTAACCAAACTTATGATCTACAGTAAACGAGATCTAATAACGATATCAAAGGACGATTTTGAATATCAATAGAAATTTAATAATAGAAAGCATTGACTTACAATTATATGGACGTCGGGTCCGCGCTAAAAAGTGTCCGAACTTGTAGGGCGTTAAAATCCTATACAGAGCGTCATTCACGCTTTAGTCTTCGTTTGTTTCTTCTGACAGCGAAGCAAGCAAAATTAGACAGTACTACGATGACATTACAATTTAAATTCAACGTTTTAGCTTTTTCATATTCCTTTACATGTATGTCACTACGTTTAAATACGTTGACTTGGGACATTTTTTTCGTGGTTTTTGTATTAGACCCGTCGTCCATTTATTTGTAAGTCAATGATAGAAGGTCATAAATTGTCATAATAGTGAATTTATAAACAAGATGGCTGTCAAGAACAGCAAGTTTATTTTTATTTATCGTACTAAATTGTCATTATTATTTACGAAAATTTGGCAAAAAACGCGACTACCAACTCACAAGGTTATGTTCGTCTGACCTCACCCTAAAAAGAGCGTTTGCGCAGTACATTCGATTCGTAGTTCCGAATTCGAGAAATTACGGTCCAAAATGTCACAGGGATCATTTTAACTCTATACTCCAGCCAAATTCAATGTAGAATAAATGTCAACAAACAAAAACGTATGATTTTTAGGGTTATCATCTCAGACTCTTTAGCAGTTACCACAATTTCAATATTTTCCTACGAAATTCAACTAGAAAACGACCAGTAGTTAATTATTTGTAAAACTGTGTCACCCCTAGTGACTTTTTGATTTGAATAATGGTAAATAATGGTAATTCAAGTTCAGAATCGGAAGTAGATGCTGGATGATATAATATGTAGTAAATTAATATGAAATAAAAATGTTATAATTTTGTGTCATTCCTTCTACCATTACCTACCATCTAGCAGTAAATATTAATAGGATGCAAAAAATTACGTTTATTCCTAACTCGTATGTATCAATGGGTATTTTGTAAACTGTATTATAATTGGCGAGGTAAGTATTCTATATATCTACATAACCCAATTACCTATTTACCTACCTGTTTAAATTCGAATAACGAGAGCAGGCCTTGGCAGAGCAAGTCTTAATAATGAGCATTGAAAAAAATGTTCTTTTCCTATGCCATCATTGGCAACGTTTTGTTATTAAACATTCTACATCGAATTTGGCTATAGTATAGGTGTACAAGTACTTAGTGCACAAGCGACATTTCGTAGCGACAAGCGAGTTTTCTAGATTTGTATATTCTCGGATTTAGGACGCGCATTAGTTCAAATAGAAATCTAAACTATAGTTCATTGACTTACAATTATATGGACGTCGGGTCCGCGCTAAAAAGTGTCCGAACTTATAGGGCGTTAAAATCGTATACAGAGCGTCATTCACGGTCTAGTCTTTGTTTGTTCGACTGACAGCGAAGCAAGCAAAATTAGACAGTACTGCGATGAAATTACAATTTAAATTCAACGTTTTAGCTTTTTCATATTCCTTGACACGTCACTACGTTTAAATAGGTTGACTTGGGACATTTTTTTCGTGGTTTTTGTATTAGACCCGTCGTCCATTTCTTTGTAAGTCAATGCTATAGTTCTTAAAACTAACTTCATGCTACAAACGAAATCAAATGCAGCATGCAACCTTCACTACGTATATTTATTTTAAAATTGCAATAAAATAAATGAAATATATAAATAAACATGCAAATAAACGCACACGATGCAAAATAACTTAAATTATTTCACCAATTTCGTATTAAAACCGTACAGGCGAACTGGTCCACGTCTTGGGGAAGTCGTAACTGCCACCTATAGACACGATTTTATTTTTTTACACACCTATTAGACGAGAAGAAGTATTCTTAAGTTCGGAACAGTCCAATCCTTGTTCATTGGTATACCACCCATTCCCACGAAGCACTTTGCTTCAATCTCCGTAAGGCCCAGCACCCACTAACGGGACAGCATGTTAGGGGATTTTTAGGAGACGAATCGTAATATACTCGTACCATATCGTTATGACATATAGCTACGAAAATAACGTTTTTTTTATGGTACTGTAGACTAGGGAGTATGATTAGAAATACTGGCTGAATTAATGTAGGTTTGTGTTTGGAATTGTATAAAAAAATAGGATGAAAAAAAAACAACATCTTGGTTGTTCTGGAACAGGCTTCGATCTATGAATACGTAATTTTTCTTAATCCAAGCTACGACCTTCGTTATATTATTTATATTTTATTGTTGTATGTTTGTTAATCTTTTGTGTTTGTTTTTCATATGGAGAAAACTATGAAGCCAAGATGACAATGTTATAGGATGGAAGTCTCTCTGGCGAATGCAGATAGATGCTAACATAGACGGACAGGAGGAGATGGATTACTAACTTGGAAGAATATGATTTTTTTTTAATATTTTGAATATATTGACTTGGGTATATGTCTATGTTGCCTATCATAGTACCAAGAGACGTGATGAAGAAGTCTTGTGCTGATGAGTTGCAGTGCCACTCAGAGGCTTAAATCGCAAAGACCTAAGGAAGACTGCCACTGCGTCCGTCACCCTGAGACATAAGTTGACATGTCCCATTTGCTTGTAATTTCACCAACATCCTTACCCTTCAAAACCGGAACGCAGTAATGCTGACATTATTGCTTGGCGGCAGGAATAGGTAAGGTGGCAGTACTTCCTTGGACGAACTCTTTCACAAGGACCTCTACTGCTACAAAGATAAAAAAGCTACGTTAAGTTTAGAAGAAAGTCAATTTTAAAGTATGATTATATACTTAGAATAATAACGCATAGAATGATAGTTTCATATCAAACGAACTGTCACAAGTGAGGCAAAAATCAAATTCATGTAGGCTAGTTTTATTAGTACGTTAATTTTCGGTTTTAGTGAATATTTATAAAAAATACAAGTTGAAACGCGTTACTTCCCCGTGGAATGTGATGTTAGTATCTATTTTATGTTTGTCTGACGTATTTTTACACTCATTTACCGCACATTTCGTCATTTTTAGCTAAAATTCTGGAGCTGTTCGCGATGCAAGTTGACCTTGAGCACTGAAGGCCCGCCCGCTCGTGTAGGCCCATTGGGAGCGCTTCAATTTGCCTCACTTAGCGTGTGCGGGCTAGGTTTGTATGCGTTATTATTCTAAGATTATATACATCATACTTTAAAATTGACTTTCTATTAATTCAAATTAAAGAGAAATAATTTTTTAAAATAATTTTTCGGCACTGGCGAAAAAGTCTATTATTATAGTATTTTTTGAGATACGACAAGATCGCTTTCCTGCGTCGAATCTAAATTTGCACGCGGTCCGCACGTACTAGCCAGAGCCGCCACGCTTCCCCCCTGTCCGCTGTAGTCCTGCAATGGCAAGCTATGTGTACGTGGACTTACACACAGCTTTAAAAACGTATGCCACACGCACAATGAACAGTCCTCAGTTCCTTCTTAAAGAGCGTGATATAGACCGACCAAAAAGAAAGGATTTTTTTATATTTGCTTGTAATTTTCATTTTAAAAGAAAGCTAAAACATTGTCTGTGATTTCTTATTGCCATAACAGTGTGTCACTTTTGTAGTAGTTATTCTAAAAAGTCATAGAATAACGTGAATACTTTTTCTATTCGAATGATACTAAAAAGAAATCAAACTGTTATTTTAAAGAATGTTTGACGCATACTTAACAAAAATTTCTATCATACACTTGACAACACAAGTGTAAAGCAGTTCACTTTATTGTACTTCTAGCATCATGTCTCAAGGTGCTTTTCCATTGGCGAAGCGAAACGAGAATTGAAATGCAGGGGCTATTTCCACCAAAACATGCGATTTTTTTAATATTACAAGTGACGGGACGAACAAGTCGTGCACCTGATAGTAAGCTACACGCCTGTCCATAACAGTTGCAGTGCCACTCAGAGCTTTAAATCGCAAAGATCTGAGGGGCACTTAGGCATTAATGGACTGAAATTTTGCTATAAAAATTTCAATTCTCGTCTCGTCTCGCCTGGCCAGTGGAAGAGTACTTTTATAGGCGTTTATGGAGAATATTGGATGATTGTGTGTCCTTACAAACGTCACGTCAGTTTGATAGATCGAACTGTATGAGGTCGCGGAGATGGTGGTGGTATTGTCGTTTGAGTGCGTTTAGAATTATTAGTCATAAACCAAGAAAAGAACATTCATTTATTTGACTACCACAAGTGGCACCACACAAGTAAAGAGAAACAAAAGGGAAAAAAATCACAATTAGGAAACAAATAAACAATTAAAAAAGTAAATCACGAACAAAATAACATACAGATTATTTATATAAACAAAGACACTATGAAGATATTTTCTTGTGGTGCCAACCGCGGTAACAAAAAGTGTCACTAACTCAGTGTTAAATGGAAAACACAATGCTTTCCAATTGATTTTCAATAATGTCCTTAAGTGAGGCCACAACAAAAAAGGTGCGAATCGACAAGACGGGTTTTGATGTTAATGTTTGTGAATAGTAAATAACCGAGCTGCCTCTCTCTGCGAATACGCCACGTGACATTTAAAATCTATTTTTGTGTAGTTTATCTTTTGTATGTTCGAATGATCAAAAGTGAACACATGAGTTAATTGCAATCTTCTGACATTATTACTTATCGCCAACTAAATGAATTGATAATGGATGGTATCCCCTGCAAAGAATCTCTGGGATTCTCCGACATATTCATATGTAAATCAACATTTATTAATACACAACACGTGTTGCAGATTGTATATAGGTATAACATTTGATAATAAAAGTAATTGCGCAAAATAAATTTTAATTTAAATAACAAATAGAAAAAGAAAATAGAAATAACCACCACCGTACCTTCAAAGGAGCTCTTGTCTGTAAGCCCATCCTCTTTAAGGTCACTCTCCACTGCATGCTCAGCTACCGCGTCAACGGCCTGTTGCCCCATATCCCAAAGGTCACTAATAATACCCCTCCCCTTTCTAACTCCCCCTCTAACGATTCCCCTATTCAGATTTGAATCATGCACATTCGATTCTATATCACTACTCTCGTCACTTTTCACACTTGAACCAGGACTATTATTGCTTGAACCACGATTGTTCGAGCTTGAACCGTCACCAGGCAAGTGTGAAATGTTGGAGTGATCAATAGATTTTCCTCCTATAACCCAAGACTGGATGGTTCCAAACCCACGGTCAGAGTCTTTGACCATTGGTCCAACAACGTGAATCGATGGCTTTTTCTTCTTCTTTTTGTTTTTCTTCTTTTTGTCGCTAGCAGTTGATATTGTGATGGTTGCTTCTCCACCTCCTTCATGATGACCACGGGAAAAGGCTCTGAAATAAAAAAAAAAGGTTATAGCATGCACCTATAACTTTCAACGACACTTTTCGCTAAGGGCAAAAGAAAGTTCAAAATTATCAGTGTGAAGTCCACAACTCGTGGGCTAGTGTGGCAGATTATGGCTTAAATATCCTTATAGGATACTTGTGGCATGCACTTGAACGTATCTCATCTCGTCATCTTTGCAAGAGCAATTAAATATTATGCATAATTAATTAATATGCATAATTAAATTAAGGGTTGTTAACTTATGTCTCAGGGTGACCGGCGCAGTGGCAGTGTCCCACAGACTTTTGCGATTTAAAGCTCTGAGCAGCACTGTAACTGTTATGGACAGGTGTGTCGCTTACCACCAGGCGCCCGACTTGTTCATCACCACAAAGAAATGAGTTATAAATTATAAATTACTGGCAATTTGTTATATCACACAGCTATTGCAATAGTGTTGTATCTCAAAATAGTGAAATTCAAAAACCAGTCAATAAAACCATCGTTAGAATATTGTAACAAACAATTAAAATATATCTACTTAACTCAAAATTAGATAATTTTTTTATTAGCTTGTTCTGGATAAAACAACCAACTTTGTACGGACAACGGAACATCAGACTACACATTTTTATTCGAAAATCGCCTCCAGTGCAACGGAACAAGATACATTAATGCTTGATGGGTTGGCGTGTGTACCTAGTAACAGTAGAATAGATACCTTGTAAATGTACTAACAGAATGTACTATAAATTGTCAGCAATAAGTGATTTTTTTACATTTATAGTATTTTAATTGAAAAGTCATATTACAAAGTTGAAGAGTATGTGTTAGATAAAGATGTATGGAAAGACAACATGAGTCTAGATTTCACACAAATTTAATTCAAAGTGTATTCCATAGCATTTAAGTTTATTTGAAAAGAGCAATCGCTAGAGTTTCTAGCTCATTCTTCTCACGAGGTCAGCGGAGTGATCGAGCAGTGGCTTAAAAAAGACATTTTCACGTGTACATTACCTATGGAATACATGACCTTACCTATATCTGCCGTCACGCAGTAATGTTAGCATTACTGCGTTCCGGTTTTGAAGAGTCAGGGTATTGGTGAAATTACAGGGACATGGGACTTGTCAACATATGTCTCAGGGCTGACATGCGTACTTTGCGATTTAAAGCTCTGAGTGGCACTGCAACTGTTATGGACAGACGTGTAGTTTACCATCAGGCGCACGGCTTGTTTGTCCCGTTACTTAATATTGTTAAAAAACATGATTATTTTACTTTTCCTTTTGTACTATCAGTGCAATATATGGAATTATACTGTGCGTAACCAAGTAATTGCTCAGTTAATGTTGTAGTAAAAGTACTTTTCCAAATTTGAACTGGTTTTCTAAACTATCGCCCTACAAACGTCACGAAAAACAAACGCTTCTTTCCTAACTGTAATATGAGTACTACAAGTTTGCTTAGAAAAGTGGTAAAATTAACACGGAGTGGCCAGGCGACGCGCGGGCGCATAAGCGAGAGCGATAGCGGAATCTTTAGGCAACGTAAAGTGTAATAAGTGACTAAAAGTGTGGATCGGCGATAAATCTCGAAAAAACCCAATACAAAAGATCTGTAACACACCCTAAGAACAATTCTTAAGGTTAATTGAGTCGATTTGGAATTTTATGATATCTAGCAATGGGGCCAACAAGTGCCCATGTCTTAGGATGACGGGCGTAGTGACAGTGCTCCTCAGATCTTTTTGATTTAAAGCTCTGAGTGGCACTGCTAACTGCTATGGACAGACGTTTCGCTTACCACAAATGCGCGACATGTTCGTCCCGTCAATAGGTCTCATAAAAAAAGATGTGCAATTTTAGTAGATGACGCCGTTTGGGCTTTATTTGCACCGCTGGTGCTGGGGTATGATGCCGTAAGTATTGGGCACCGCAAGACTTACGGCATCATACCCCAGCACCCCATCATATCCATCATACCCCAGCAGCAAAAAACGCCCCCGCCGCGGCGCCATTTGTAAACAGCCTATCTCGAGCAAGAAAATTGGAAATGTACGTCACGTTTTCGAATTGCCTTTACGAGTCGAAGACGACTTCGACTTCGACATAGAAGATAGTTTATATTTATTTTTAAGAGTAATGTTTAATAATATAATCGTTTTTTTATTGTTAAGTTGCGTAAAAAGGAACGATTTAGTTATTGGTTTACTTTACTCTTACACATTGCAACTTCTCATTTTGAATAATAATAATATTGAGTGAAGCGTGAAACCAATTTTCATATTTTAGGTAATTAAGCATAATTTCCTTGAAGACAATTTGTTTAAAATTAATTTAATTGTCGCATTGTTGACTTCACATTGGTTCTGTTACTTACTAGGCCATGTGTTGAAGTTTCAACCTAACGCCGCGGTGGTGCTAGTATTTGTTATCAATTAGGTAATTCTTTTACATTACAATTCTTTATATAATACAAATACTGTGTAAAGTGAAAATTTATTTTAATAAGTTAAGTAATTAAGCGTAATTTTATTAAGACATTTCCTTTTAATTTCGTATAATTGTCACATCATCGACTATGCACTTTTTGTTATCTAACATGCCATTGGTTGGTTGTAATGTAGCGTTCTGACGCTAAATGCTATGAAGATTGATTACAAGTTATGGCGTATTTACTGGTAGTGCGAATAGTGAAAAAACGAAATGACTTGTTTAAGGGTCGTATTCTAGAACTCTACACAATGCTCAAGTCAGGATTGCAATGGAAACACAAGCACTGGAAATACGACCCTAATGGCAGGGACTTGAGTATGATTTCGAGTGCTTTAAACCATACTCAAATCCTGACTTGAACATTGAGTAGAGTCCTAGAATACGACCCTAAGTGTGACAAAAACAAAAAGTCCAGTACATGTGTCTGTTTAAGAAATATAATTTTAACTATTTTGTGAAAAGTAATCAAAAAATGATCAAAAGATTTATTAACGTCGAAGTTTACATTTTATTTCCAGAAATTGTCATTCCATAAGTACCACAAATAATTACAGCATGGAAGAGTCAACAATTCCGATATATATATACTATACATTCACATAATCTATTCATAGCAAGAATCGTTAAAGACTTACAGTACTTTTTCATATCTGCTATTCGCTTCGCTTTCGTCTTTTTCCCTGGCCACACGTTCCAGTGAGAGCGAGAGTATAGTCACGTCTGTTAGGCAATTAGAGTAGGTGACTGTACTTAACATGTCTTTACTATGTATGGTTTGCTTTTTTAGAGCTATACTTTTAAATGATGATCGGGAGAAAGAATTAAAGCTTTAAGCATTTAGAAGCAATAGAGCTTTTTGTGAAAGAATTCGTCTAAAGAAGTAGTACCACGCCAAGCAGATTACTACAGATTACGTAACAGATACAATATATCACTTTTATACACAATCGAAAATCCTACTAAATCTGAATAATGACATCAGGCGCTCGTTACGAAGAAAAACCAACCTAAGCACGCGCTCAGAGAGGTGAAAATAACGTTGCCCGCTATCTGCAGTTGTGCGGAGCCGAATGCTCATAAATGAAAGATATGAGCGCTTGTGCCGACGTCGGTACACACAGCGGTAGGCATTTATAGCGCTGGAGCCTTGGTATTACTGCGTTCCAGTGTTGAAGGGTATGGGTGCTGGTGAAATTACAGGTACATGGGACTTGTCAATTTTATGTTTCAAGGTGACGGGCGCAGTGCTAGTGCCCCTCAGATGTTTGCGATTTTAAGTTCCATGCGGCACTGCAACTGTCATGGACTGGCGTGTCGCATGCCTCCAGGCGCACGGTTTGTTATCGTCGCTTGATATAATAAAAAATCCTTGTGAGTATAAGTCTGTTGAATTGATGAATAGAAATTGAATAAATAACACAACCGCACCTACAGTCAAAGATTCCACCGCCAAAAATATACCCGACATGACAAGAAACAGAAAGAAAACGTAAAAAGTAAACATTTTCCGTTCCGTGACTTGGTAAAGTGTCGGGCATGGTGTGCTAGAAGACGTCGGTTCGAATCCGGCCGGATTGAAGGATTTTTTCCGAGTGTTCGATCTTTAACAAACTAGTGGAGTAATTTCACATAAAAATAATTGAATATCATATCGAGTTCTTAGGTTTTCGCGATTGTTACACATAGGAAATGAAACTGTTTTTCCGGATTTAAATGTTTTTTCAAACAAACCGACGTTTCGGGCCCTTTACAGGTCCCATGGTCACGGTTGACTCAGTCAACAAATATACGCGATTTAAATCCGGAAAAATAGTTTCATTTCCTAATTAAATATCAATTCAATAAAAATTTTGTTAACAGAAAAATTTTAGTTTCACTGTGCCCGGCTAACCATTACACATAAAAAACGTATTAAGCGCGTATTGTCTGCTTAAAAAGCCGGCAGACTAAACCACGTGTAACATAGATCTAAAAAAGTCAGTAATTTAAACGCGGTTATAGTTATTTGTGTCAATGTAAATGGAAATAATTGTAACAGATAAACCTTGGTAGCCCAATGATTTGACCTACCACCTCTCACGAACAGGTTCGTGGGTTCGTATCCGGGTTTGCATCTCTGAGTTTTTTGGGGAGGGAAAAAACCGTGCAGTCAAAGTGAAATAATCTTCATAGGTAAGCGAATTACACTTGAAATCGTCATACTGATTAAACTTCTGCTCATTCGTAAGGCAGATTCCTGTGATAAAAATGAGCAAGAAACTCTAGGGGTTGCTCTTTGTAAATAGACCGAGAATAGATGTAGGAGCTAAACGGGTTACTACCACGGATTTTTGTCATTCAAGTACGCAGAAGTTGTATAATAAACCTTTACTATAAAGTTTTTGTTTCACTCGGATCAATCGGAATCTTATTATAGAAGCCTTAAATGAATTTGAGACTTTATGAAGACTACTGTCTAGAACAGCTAGTTTATTTTTATGTTTCGTATTAATGTAGTGTGTCACTATTTTTCTTAACATACTTAAACTTCATACCCATAAATGTGCTTTGAGAAACCTGTACACA